ACTAATCCTAAGTACAAAACAGATCCAACATGTATAGTTTAAATTTATTTTAAGTTTATATAACAGCATTATACCAAAGAAAAACATTTATGTATTGTTTAATAAAGTTGTCGATGGCTTCGTGAGTGTCTTCTACAAGAGATTAAAAGTTTTGCTTGAACGGTAGAGAAGACATTAAAATTACACACAAGAAGAAATGAATTGAGCAATGACACTCCAATCTAACATGGTAAACAAGTATCTTTCTACAAATGTTTCTCCTTGATTGTTAAACAATTTGACAATAACACCAAAACCGTAACTTACAGAAACAAATAATCAAATATTATAGATCACTGAAGCAGTAAAGAGTCAAAAGACTAGCACACAATTAGCAAGAGTATCTCAATTTCTTGAAACAAGCAGACCACAAGATTCCAGCACAAATCAAATCCCATAAACATATTTCATTATCAAACATTGTACATAGATTGATACGAGAGATAGATGGAAAAGAGACAAGTGAAACCGGATCAATCTCTTTTACTTTCAGTCTTTCCTGTGATGACGTTTCCTGCTCTTCTTCTCATACCTCTTAGAAGAACTCCTCCCAACGCGTGAACCAACATCATCCCCTGAAACATCAGAGTCAGAAGACGCCGCCACTTTGTTCCTACGCTTCTGCCTTCTACCTCTCCCATCAACCTCAGATTCATCTGAATCATCAGAATCATCAGAAGAACGGTCACGCCTGCTTCTCCTCCTCCTCTTCTCCTTTCTACTCTTCCTCTTAACCCGTCTCCGATCCTCATCCTCAGACTCATCAGAATCAACATCTCTCTTCCTCCCCCTCCTCTTACTCCTCCCTTCTTCCTCATCCTCAGACTCACTCCCACTCCTCCTCCTCCGCTTCTTCAACCTCCTCACTCTCTTCCTCTCCCCCGAATCAGACTCATACTCGTCACGCTTCTTCTTCCCATACCTCTCAGCAATAATCTTCTCAATCTCAGAATCAACATCAGAACCATCCTCACTCTCACTCTTCTCCTCCTCCTCACTACTCTCTTCCTCCACCTCCCCTCTCCCAACACACCTCCTAACCTTCTCCAACCCAACCGCAACATCACCTTCAATCTCACCCCCATCCTTACCCTCCTTCGTGCTCAAAAAATTCCTACACTGATACGTCAAGTGCCCCACACGGCCACACTTCTTGCAACACCCGCGAGCCTCGTCGTTGTTGGAGCCGGTGATCCTAGCGAGAGCCAGAAGACCCTGGAAGCTCGTGTAAGAGTTCTCGGGGTCTTCGGACTTCTCATGAGTTGTCTTCTTCGGCTCCTCTTTGCTCGTAGGCGCGTAAGGATCGTAACCGATCGCGCTCTGCCAGATTCCGTGAGTCTGGAGCGCCGCGCTGCTGTGAACGCGGTTGTTCGCAGGCATGCGGACTCTTCCTGCGGTGGCCGGCATCTTTGCGAAGCACTAGATAATTCACTCACAACCTATGCCATAAAATCAAAGCGATTCGTTGTGAAAATTAGTAATGATTCGATCGATTACACAGGAAGCTAGGGTTCCGAAATCTATTCCATCAAAACAAATCAGCCGATTGGGAAAGTCATTTACCAGGTCCTAGCGGAAGAGATCGCTGGAGAGAGACGGTTCGCTGGAGAGAGACGGGTGCTTCCTCTCCTATCGTCTAAGGAAAAAGGAGTAATGTCCGAGGGCGAAATGGCTTTACAAGGAACCGGATTAAACTTGTTCTATTTACACTTACACCCCCTATTATTTGTAGTTTTAAGAATTAAATCAAGGAGTATATTCAAGAGTGGGATGCGCTTCACTATGCATAGACCTTTGGGTACCCTTTCGGATATGGATACTATCCATACATTCGAGTATTGATGTTTTGGATTTTAAAAAATAATTTCATTCGGAGATTACAAAAAATTGGATCGGATTCGAGTTGGATCCTCCCGAATCTGGGTGGGTCCAAGTTTTATCCAAAATAACCAAACTATTTGATTCGATTCGAATATTTTATATCCAAACTAATCAAACTTATCTAAAATAACTTAAAAATACTCAATTTATATAGTTCAAATTGATTATTCTTTCCGAAAAATAACCATATATATAATGTTATTTGAATATTTTTATTCAAAACATCTATTTTATCTATAAATATCTAAATAACAAATATATTTTATTTATAATTTTAATATTAGGTATTAATACTATTTTAATAATTTAAAATAATATTTTATATATTTGCATATGTTTGGATACTCATTCGGTTTTTGGCACTGTTCGGATTCAATTTCGGTTTTTTTGAATTTTGAAAAATATTTTCCTTCAGATATTTAGGTAAGATCCGACCGAATCGGATACCCTATTTTTCTGCTCGATTTAAATAAAAAGTTTGGGTATGAATATTATGTCCAGCCCTACGTTTCACGAGTTTTTATTTAAATTTGGTGGACACAAAATCAAAAAGGAAAGATAAGAAAGTTTTGAGGATAAATTATAAAGATGATGAATAGAAGAAATCGGCTTAAGTTTTTTCTATTGAAATTTACACCCGTAACATTTGTAATTTTTAGAATTTAACCATGTATAATATTTAAGAATTGATTGGACTTTCACAAAAACTGGCTTGAGCTAAAAAAAAAAGAAACTGGCTTGAGCTTTTACTATTTTACATTTACATCCTTTTGGCAACTAAATTTACTTCCTTAACCTTTGTGTTTTTGACCAAAAAAAAAACCAATGTGTTTTAACAATTTTACAATATTGGGCTTCACCCATTCTTTATTGGACTTTGATGGGCCGAAGATCCAATACATACAACAGACATTGATAACGATAGTGAGTGATCAAAATCATTTTATCTAGGAGTAACCGAAAGAAACTCCAGAATTAAACAAACAAGCTTAATTTTAAATTCAGTTTTCGAATTCATGAATAGAAACGCTCAAAATTCATGATAATTTAATCAAAACCTTAATTATTAATTAACCTCTTAACTACATATAATTAGCAAGAATATCCCCCTCTTGATCCTTCCCGCCACTTTTCTCTCCACAAAAGTATAACTAATTACGTTAAATCAGTTTTTAAAACAGTTCATCACACTTGTTAAGATTAAACACTTAATCATAGTTTCTTATATAAGACATCATTTTCATATCTTAAAAATTACAAATTCTCAAAGGTTTTTTAAAAAATATATTTTATATAAAGAATCGAAGATGGCTTCAAGTTGCTGTGGAGATTACGTTGCTGCTTCGCCGGAGATGGCCGTGACGGGAAGCGAATCAATCTTGTTGAGGCTTCTATGCGTCGTCTTCATCGTTCTTTTCTACAGTTCTATCTTTCTTCTATGCTTCGTGATGTACCCCAAGGATCAAAAATCAGAAATAGGCGACGAGGAAGCCGGCGAGCCGTTGCCGGCGGCGGTGAGACTCACGAAGAAAGGAGAGAAATGCGGTGGTGGCGGCGACGGGATCAGAGCCGATGTATGCGTGATCTGTTTGGAGGATTTTGAAGTGAACGACGTCGTTAGGATTCTGGTGGGATGCAAGCACGTGTTTCACGTGGAGTGTATAGACTCGTGGTGTTTTTATAAGTTGACGTGTCCGGTTTGTAGAAAACCGTTTCAGTGGTTTGGTGATTGGTAAGAGCGGGGAGATAAGTTTAGGGTTTAATTGTGTTCGGTATGATCCGGTTTAATCCCAATTTAGAAATTGGTAAGGGCGGGGAGATAAGTATAGGGTTTAATTGTTAGACATGTTCCGGTTTAATCCCAATATAGAAATTTGTACGTCTTTGGGATTACAAAATCCAAGGGGGTCTTCCTTTTTTTGGATCAGATCCTTGATTGCGATGTATGTGTACATATATTTGAAAATGTTGATTATACTAGTGAATAATAAGGATTACGGTTTGATTTTGGTTGCGGTTTATTACAAAACATGTAGAACCAATTAAAATTACAAGGAAGATCGTTTTTTAAATCATGAAAGTAGCAAAGACACCCACGAGTCACGACGGAGGTTGGACAAACATCAATGCAAAATGAATTATCATCGCTCAGATGTTGTTCTGCCTTTTTACGATTGTAATTTGTTGGAAGCTTTGCAGAAATTGAATTTTTTTTTTTGTCTGATTTAGAAAAAAAAAAATTAAAAGTATCAATCGCGGAGTCTGCAAAAAGTTCCAGAAACCCACCAAATTCGATCATAAACTCATACATTTCATCATTGTTTCTCTTGCTTTTTGTGGGTCTTTCAGATTCAGAAACCCCTTTAAAACCTGTATTAATAGTGCTCTAATCACCTCGCAAAGCTAGCCTTCTCATTTTTTAGATACAATACATATCTACAAAAAAATTAAAATCTATATTCGATAAAAAAACCCAAAATTCTTACTATTATTTTTAAAAAAAACATCAGATAAAACAATAAAATGATAGGCTTCCTACATCAAAATGGGGTTGTGCTTGCTTTATGATCTCTTCTTTTCTTATTATTGGTTAAAATAATGAGATTCAACTTAAAACCAACCATTAAGCAAAAATAATAATCTTAAAGTCAACCTGAAACAAGAAAAGCAACAAACGAAACATCCAAGCATCAAGCAAATTGGGACACTATTGCAATTTGCAAAACGTGATGAATCACAACGACTCTGTCTCTCACGGTGTTTCATGGGCCGAAGGCTTTCTCCACACGAGACCACAAAGTTTAATTAAGGACCTCCACTCGATGGCTTTCTCCACTCGAGACCACAAAATTTGTCTGCTTTGTTTTCTTTTATGCTTTAGATATATTTTACGTAACAATTCTTTTCTTAAGATGTTTATGTCACAATAACGAAGAAAGGTTGAAAACTCCTCCTAACCTAACTTGCCTCCTCATCATTTCAATTTCGGCGTTGACTTTTGTGTTTACAAAAAAACAACCAAAGTACATGTGAACCGTACGGATAAAGGACATCATCTGAAGAGTCACGAGACTGTTCTTCGCTGACATCATGAACCACTTTGACACTGACTCCCTCAATTTGTTTGACTTTTGTCATTATATTTATTTATTTATCCTTCTTTACTACCTCCCTTTTTTCTAGATGAAATCTCATTTTGAAGCTGCAACATCATGTAGTAGCAGCTATGTTTTATTAAGTTTAATGAGACTATTTATGTTTTGAAGTTTTGACTTACTATATATTGACCGAGAAAGAGTTTTTAACATCGTAACTTGAGTCATAGTAAATGTGTAGTTGGATGGTAGTTGGATACTTGGATAGTTGGATCTAATAAAATGGTGAATAAGTAGTATCCTAATCTAATCATAGGAGCTAGAATATACAAATCTGAAAATGTCAGATAATTTTGCTGGAAATAGAGTAACATTTTGAATTAATAAAAAACTTCTAAATTTTTATTATCATCACATTAAAGTATATCGTCTCACGAGTCAATTTGTCTTAAATGATAAACATTTTTTTTTTTGGTAAGATGGAGGAGCAAGAGCCCCTACTTTTTATTCAAACTTAAAAGCAACTACAAGCAAACGAGGTCTAGACACCCCATTAGAGTCCTCCAACAAAGCTGGAGCAACAATCTCTGGAACAAGTTCAAAATAATGCAACCCAAAAGGTACAGAAAACGCATAGGTCGCTAATCCATCGGCAAGATAATTAGTCTCCCTATACACATGAGAAAACCTGACTATCCAGTCTCTTGATAATAAGCCATAGCACAAGCGTACTAGGAACGACATGGGATGTGAATCATGAATCCCAGTCTGAAAAAAACCCACCACTTTTACCGAGTCCACCTCCACCTCCAGCCTTCGAATACCACTATCCCACGCAATACACAGACCATAATACACCCCCCACAACTCTGCTAAGGTAGCCAAACAATAGCCAATATTTGCCGCAAAACCCCCTCCCCAATCTCCATGTTCATTTCGTATTGCTTCACTAGCCGTCGCCAATCCAGGGTTACCTCTTGAAGCCCCATCAGTATTTAACTTAAACCAACCAGGTGCAGGTCGATACCATTGTATTCTTCTCTCGACACGACCTCCCTGCGATGAGTGAGTTCTCAGGCTTCTGTTTGCAGCTATCACCTCCATCGCTTTGTCTTTTACAAACTGTACTCTATCTCGACACATCCCTGTTTCACCAAACACATAACCGCATCGCCATTTCCAACACCACCACACCGTCAGTGCAAAGAGTGTAGCCCATATACTACTGCTTCCAAAGTTTTCTCCATTGAGGTTCTCGTATAACCATTCATGAAGCGATGAGTTGAAGAAACGTTGCTGTCTACTCGGGATCACAATTCTTCCCCAAATTCCATTTGCCGCCGGGCAATCTCGCAGGACATGGAGTATCGATTCATCCCCATTTCTGCACAACGGACATACTCCATTATCACTTAGATGTCTTCGCTTGCGTTCCAAGTTAGTCATAATTACTTGCTGAGCCACCAACCAAAGAAAAACCCGCACTCTCTCCGGCGCAACTACACTCCAAATCTTTTTATAAAATCCTTCCATATTTGGTCTTGGAATCTCATCCCGAGTCAACAAAGAATAAGCGGACTTCACGGAAAATAAACCATCTTCATTTTCACCCCATGACAGTCTATCCCGCGCTCCAGTAACCTCATCGACCACAACTGAAGTCAATTGTAATCTCGTCTGCACAGGAAGATACGGTT